GGGGTTCCCATAGCACCTAGGGAGGCCAGCTTGGAGGGGATACAGAAGCTCCAAGCGTCCCCTACTCCTGGGGACCCATGTCAGGCCTGTGAGCTCTCCTTCCTGATCCTGAGAAAGGAAAAGGCACATTTTCTCCTCCTTCCTCCTCGACTCCTACGTCCTCCTTTGGGAAACCAAACCATAAAGGGAAAGAGAAGGTCTCATTTTGGGCAAATCTCAGGGGCGGCTCTGCAGCCCGGGCGTGCATTATACTCACCCTAAATTCACCAGGGAAGCTTTTCAAGTGCACTGACAGCTCCCCCACCGCCCAGCACCCCTCACTGCAGGACAAGAGTCAGGATCTTGGGGGTGGGGTGGGGGTGAGCATTCTGATTTTCAAGTTCCCAATCATGTCCTGGATGTGAAGCTGGGAGCCACCCTACAGACCACCAGGGACCCCAAGGTTACACAAACCCCTCCCCAGCGCGTCAGGAGCCCTAACGGTGAGGGCCGTCCACTGAGCACCACGTGGCCGGGCACACGCCCAGAGGGAGCCAGGAGGCCCAATGTGATGGGCGGAAGGGACGCCCGAAGCCAAGGAGGACAGACGTGACAGAGGGGGTAAGCTGAATGTAAAGTGGCAAAAGGAAGCAGAATTGAGATGAAAAACGATGCATTTAGTGATTTTCCAGAGGCTTCTTTTTGCTTTAGGGACTCTTCACGCCTTCTCCCCATGTAAGGTGTCGGGTCACAGGTGTGACTCTGAAGTAGAGTGTGAGCGGGTGGGTGTGTGTGGAAGACGTACCCTCGTGAATCAGGACAGAGCGCAGACGTCCCATGATGACCTAACCGTCTGCCTTTGTGAAGACGGCTCTTGTGCGTCGAAAACTTTAGGATATTTTTTAAAGGATTTTTTTTTCAAAAAAGGTCATACAGGAAAAGAAGATAAAATTTAGGGAAAAGCAGAATATTTTATGCCTTTGTCCAGGCACCCAACACCTAGCCAACAGATGCACAATGAAGCTGTAAAGGTGCCGGCTAAGCCTATTTGAAACCAAATCCTGTTTGCCTCCCGTGAAGGGAAGATCTGGTGTCCAGCCATCAACTCCTCAGTTCTCCGATCTGGAAACCCTCAAAGGATGGCTGGAGAACTTGCCCACATGTTTTTAAGTGATGTAACAAATGGAATCCCCTCTCGTTCCACCCCCGGTTGGTACTCATGTTTACACTAACAACAGTCGGAAACATTAAAAACCAGCGAAAAGCTTGAGGTGTGATTGGGCCAGGTGTATTAAAATAAAATCAAATAGAAATATTAGGTATATACACAACAGCGTAAGTGACACGTGATGTGATAAAGCATTTTCCATTCAAAGCCTAGAGGAGAAGAATCTAACAAACACAGCGTCTTGTACCCCCTGCGCCCGGCAGAGTCGAGCCTCCTTGTTACTCCTCTTCCTTTGTCTGCTCGTATAAATAGTCTCACACACACCTCACGCAATTTGGAAAAGATCGCTGAATCACGAAAATAAGCCTCAATTCGGGCGTTTCTACTTTCTAGAGAAGGCTACAATTAACATTTGTTCATGAAAATAATGTTCAGAATCACTGGAAGCAATAAAGAAAATTCTTGAGTTCTGTAAGGCCCTAGAAGGTTCTGCAAAGATTAGAATCTTTTTGTTCTCCCAAACGATATTATCCAGAAAAGTCTGTATCTAGGAAATGGTGGACCTGAAAAGCTGGGCTGTTAAGAATATTCCTTCTTAAGGCAGGGCACGTTCCTGAGGCCCCCACCCTGGGGGGCCCGGGCGGGCCTGGCCGCGGGTCCCCGGCACGCAGCACGGCAGGTGCGAGGGCCGCCCCCGCCCCCCAGCGGGGCTCTGGGCGGTCTCCCCCGAAGGGGAAGCGTTTAAGTCTCGGATTTCAGGGAGGTCACTGAGGTCTGGGAAAGACACTGAAGCTTCTGACTTCACCTGCAAAATCTAACAGGTTGGATTAGTAATTAAAAAAAAAAAATTAGCTGAAGCATAAAGAAAAATTCAAAGAAGTGTCACAGCAAACATCTGGTTATTGTACTTTTATAAATGAGGTTAGTTCTGCTCCTGGTTGGGAATTACTGAAACGGCCTGTGAACCTCTGAGTCACACATCCCCGTGTAAACAAAGGCAGACGTGGGTGCGTTTTGGTGGCCCGGGGTGTTTTCTTCTCGGAAGCCTGCGCCCAGATGTTGGTCTCGCAAAGCCAGATGGCCACGGGGAGCGGTCCAAGCTGCACGCCAGTGGCAATGGCTCCTGGGGGGGCAGCCTTCCCGGGGGGGAGAGCTCTTCCTGAGTAACTTAGCCTCCTGCGTGGGAAGCAGTGGTGGCAGGTGACCCCAGCACGGGAGATAACTGGTCCACCGGGGGCTGCTCCTTGCCCCGCCGTCCCCGCGGGGCTGAGGGTCTCCTGCGCCCTAGGGCTGCTGCTGGTACTGGCCCTCCGTGGCCGTGTAGAAGTCGTCCAGGACGCTCTGCAGGTAGTCGAACGTTGGCCTCTCCTCTGCCTTTTCTTTCCAGCACATCTTCATGATGTCATAGAGCTCGTCCGGGCAGTTCTCCATGCGGGGCATCCTGTAGCCCTGCGACAGGGCGGTCATCACGTCGGCGTTAGTTCTGCCTGAGAAAAAGAAAAACCGCGTACCATTTAGAAACCTGACCGAGGCTCACGCGTTGCAGTGGTGCCCACATCCTGCGTCCTCGGCTGAAAGCAAGCTTTGGAGGCTGTCGTGGGATGAACTGTGTTCCCACCCTGCAGATTCCTATGCTGAAGGCCTGGCCCCAGGACTTCCGCTTGTGACTGTATTTAGAGGTAAGGCTTTTCCAGGGGTGGTCCAGGGAAAAGGAGGCCTTTAGGGTGGGCCCTAACCCCACCGGACTGCCGTCCTTTTAAGAAGAGGAGATTAAGACACAAAGAGACACCGGGGACGCCGTGCACAGAGGAGGGGCCGGGGAGACACATGGACAAGGCAGCTGCCTCAAGCCAAGGACGAGCCTGAGGAGAAGGCCTCCCTGCCGACACACCGTGATCCCAGAACTGTGAGAAAAAATGTTTGAGCCCTCGGCAGCTCTAGAAAACTGGTCCAGAGGCTAAGGACATTTCCGTAAGCAACTAAATACTATAAATGTTAGCACAGAGGGGCTCATGACGGCATGCAGTTGCCAACGTGAAAACAGGCGAACGTGGCAGGTAGAGCGCAAAGCAAGTTCTCCTGAACGACACGACACTGGGCTTGGCACACCTCTTGAGTGAACTGCTCAAGCGCAGTCCTGACACTTGATCTCAGTGTCTTTTCTTAGCTTTTTTCCAGCTTCATCGTGTAATGCATATACCAAAAAAAAAAAATCACTTGCACAAACATTATCTCATACCGACGCTTTTTAAAAATCAGCTTTTCATTGTAAGTTTACTTTAAAGGAGTCAGGATCCTTAGGGCAGCTAGACTGATTCCTTAATAATCTTCTAACTGTCCTAGGCTTCAGTTCAGGCAGGGCCAGAGCTCGCCGCGCTGCGGGAAAGTGTGCAGCCTCAACCGCGCGCACGAGGGACCAAGGTGCCCGCTACCAGGAATCTACAGGGATCCTGGAGGATGGATTTACTATGTTCAGAGGTCTCAGGGCAGCTCAGAAGCTGAACTGTTGGTCTTCGATACTGAGAGTAGCTTTAAGGAAAAAAAGATCATTTTAAGAATGATTTCCCCCATTGTTAAAGTGGGTACTGAAATCGGCTCACTGAGCAGTTTTACCAGTGCTTCCCCGCATCTGGGTATTCTGCCTGTTTTTGTGGACACCTCATTCTGTAGGGTCATGCGCTCCTCTCGGGAGGAGCTGTATCTCATGCAGAATATTTTCACGTTGAAGGTGTATAATGTCTGGGGCACGAGGAACTCTGTTCATCACGACTATTTCCTCCCCACGGCCCTCCCCTCCCCACCGCCCTCTTCTCCCCACCGCCCTCTCCTCCCCACCGCCATCCACTTTACCCTGGTGGACATTTTCAGAAAGAGCTGGAAGCTTTACAGAATGTCTCTTACTAGGTTGGAAACAGAACCTTCTTTTGAATTTATTCTCTAATCCGTGTTTTTCAAATCATGAGTCACTATCTATTTGAGATCAACAAATCGATTTTTAGGGAGCTACTGGTATTTTAAAATAGAAATGAGAATAAAACAGAAGAGATCAGAACGCATGGCAGGCAGTAAAAGTCAGTGTGGTTTTGTGGAACTTCTGTTTTATACATGGGGTGGGTGTCTGTCTGTTTCTTACCATGGGTCATGATCAATGACCTCTGAACTCCTCTGCCCTTAAACTAACCTTTCTTCTTCTAAAGACACAGTGACTGAAGGTTCCTGCCTGGATTTAAACCCCTGAAAAAAAGACACATTTATTTCTGTCTTGGAAGAGCCCTTGTTTTTACAATGGAAAGATCCAAGCAGATCTTACCATCCTTAAGATCTCTTGAAAGTTGTTTACATGTTCGTTCATTTTGCTCAAGTCTACTTCTGAAACACCACCTTCGTATTTGTGGAGCTGGAATGTTCTAACTGGAACACTTCACTTGATTCTCATTGCTTGGAGCCAAGGATTCGATGTGCATCACTTTTTTAGCTGGGGTTCTGGTCTCCATAAATGATGTGGCCGCCCCGTTGCCCTGGCTCCTGAACTAGCCAAGCTCTCTTGGATAAACTGGCTTATCTCTGTGGGCACGTTCTGACCTTTTATGCAATATGGGGTTGTCCAGGAAGGAGGCGAAAGACATTCCTAACCAGGTTGGCCTTTGGCCTTTCTCGGGCTTCCTTGGCCACACTGCAGACTTTTTTCTTCCTTGTTCTTAAACGGTCTCCTAATCTGAAGAACTCTCTCAGTGATGCAGATAAAGACCAGGCGTGCTCCCCTGCCTGCGGAATCTGACTCACTAAGAGGCCTAAACAGAAGGAAATGTGACGTGTCTTTTTACGTTCAAGTCAATCAGGCAAATAAATAAGGCTATCAGCTGACAAATCTGATGGAAGAAAGAAAGAGAGGAGGAGAGAGACCCTGACCAGATCCCTGAGGTTAACCCGGTACCGGCCTGTCGCTGAAGAAAGCAAAAACGCCCACTGCTGGGGATCAGATTTAAAGAGAAGCGAGCTCATATTCCGTCCTTGCTTCTTGCAACAAGCGTTTAGTGAGTACCTACTATGGGCCACGTGCTGGCACTGAACTCAGAGAGACAAAGAGCATTAAGACGGAGCCTTGTCCTTGAACGGAGCGCAGCCCAGCGGGAGGAGCCCTCAGGAGGGGAGGGGGCAGGAAGTGACAGCTAGAGTCGGGAGGGATGAACAGAGGCTTGAAGTTGGTGAAAGAGCCCAGGAAGGAGAAGAATGCAGTAGAGCAGAGACTAGAAAAGGGAAGAGATTAGAAAAGCCTCAGGAGCCGGGCACGCGGGAGCTCCAGGGACAAAGGGAGCCTGTGTGTGCGCGGGAGGGAGAACCGGCCACCACGGACCAGTCTCCCACCCAATGGGACTTCCAAAAGGGCAAATTATTTTTATTCAAGCATTTGCAGCAGGATGAGTTTCCGGATTCTGATTCACACATAGCTTAAGAAGCCTGCTGTATCTGGCAAGGAGCAGCCAGAAAAGACATGATGCTTCAGAAACTTTTGTCATTTTCCAACTTCCTTTTTCTCTCTGTAAGAGCAAAGCAAAACAAAACCGCAACCACAGAGACCCCTCTATCTTCTTTAGCAAAGTTTTCTATCATTACAATTTTGCTTTAAGGTAGTGCAGTAAGGGTCTTTGGTCCCCCCTCCCCTGTCCCCTTGAATTCATCCCCAAACCAAAAGAGAACAAGAAGCAGAAACTGGAAGAGCATCTTTGATGTAAGCAGAAGACGCCCACCAGCCAGGGGCAGAAGTGGCCAAGCCTGAAGAAGGGACGTGAAACCAAGTGCCGGCCAGGGAGGGGCTGACGGTGGGATGTTTCATCAACGCACACGGGGCCGAGGTCCGTGCCACAAACGGGACTGGGCCCAGGGCCCAGCTGGCGGGAGCCCCAGGGTGACGCTAGAGTATTTTCTCATCCTGGGCACTGAGCACAGTGGGCGAGGTCTTGGGAGGCGCACGAGTCCAGGGTTCAGGAGCAGCTCCGCCAGGAGCTAGGGATGCGGTTCTGGGCAAGAGTCCCCTTCCCGGAGCCTCGGGACCTCACCTGTGTGCCACCGCGGGCATGTCATGCATCGCACAGCACAGCAGGTATCGTAGTGTATATGTGTATCATCTGAGTATGTAAGCTTTCTCTATAGACAGCTACACGGACAGATTACAGACGTGGATACATGATGCCAGACATCCGGGCTGATCAAGAAATATTTCCCCTATTTTACAGTAGTGCTGTTCATTAACTTCAGAGTCCAGAGCAGAGCGGCAGTCAGACTATGAAATCCTGGCACCAGAGGGGTTTCAGGGGATGGTCCGCCACTGTGCGGGGGTCCCCCCGCTGCCCCGCCCCGGGGCCCCGGCTTCTCCATGGCTCACCCCTAGGCAGCAGAGGGTGAGCAGGAGCATGAGGACTGCGTCCCTGCTCTGTCCAAACGCCTCCCGCTTCCTGCCGAGTCAGGAGAGAGGCTCCCGCGTGGCCTCTGGGCTCTCATCCGCTCCACCCAGCTCCGTGCCTCCTGCCCTGCTCTGGGCCCCCGGCACTGGTGGTCTCCCCTGGGCGTCACCAGCCCCCGACAGCCCCCAGGCTCCCTGTGTCAAGTCCCTGCTGCTGGGACCACTGCTTAGAACCAGCAACCCTCCCCTTCCCCGCTCCGACCACCAGGCTCCCTCATGGCGCGCTCCCCCCAGACTGTCCGCGTTGTTGGTGATGACTGCCCGGGATGATCGCCCGTCTCTCCCTGCTCGAATATTAGCTCCCAGGGCGGGAGCTGTGACCACAGCATCCGGGCACCTCCAGAGGGCCTGGCACCGTCAGGGATCTTCTCAGTGAGGAAACGATTTAAACATGAAAGATTTAATGTTAAATTGGCTGTATCCATTGACTTTGTTAAAAGCCAAACATTACCAGGAACGTGAAGGCTTTGGGGAAATCCCTCTCCTTACACGCGTGGATCCTGGAAAAAGGGAGGGTTGGCGGAATCTGGCCCCAAGGGTGTTGGGGATCCAGAAATACTGAATGATGTCCCCACATCCAGGAGGTTAAAGACCTGAAGAATCTTTCGCTCATAAACACAGGTGGTTATTTCCTGAAGAGGCAGGGACTCCAAGGTCTGTACAAACCTCTGCTTCAAAACTAACCAAAGAGCATTGGAAATCCTCACTTCTAGGTCTGCTTCCTCCTCCGTGAGGGGCCCTGCTCAGGGGAACACCTGTGTCCAATCCTCTACCCCGTCCTCATTCCGCAGCACCTGCGACCACTCAGTGGTGGAGTTAGTGAAGGGAAAGGAACGCGCACTCAGTTGGACAGGAGGGCAGGGAAGTATCTGAGCACATTTTAGACCCACGTCCACTGAAGACAATCAGAACAAAGCTCCGGCACCAGCCTCATCCTGAGCTTCTGGATATGGGCTTGTCTTTTCTGCCTCCCACCGCTCGGCTTCTTTCGCACATGTACCGCGTGACTGGAAGCAGGTGAGGAGACCATACCTGGGTAGGGAATCTTCCCATAGGTGACGATCTCATACAGGAGAATTCCAAAGGACCACACGTCAGACTTGATGGTGAAGCATCCGAAGTTGATGGCTTCTGGCGCCGTCCACTTAATGGGGAATTTAGCACCTGGGGAGATGACATGGGGGTTTACTCGGGTCTCTGAGCAGAAACAAAAAAGCCATGGGAACATGGCCCTCACACTTTCCCTCTTTTTGGGAAAATTTTAATGCTTTGTTTTGATTGGGTCACACAGACACACAGTACAAAATAGAGATGAGACAAAAAGTTACACTCAGAATGTCTGGCTCCCTCCTCGTGGGCACTTCCCTCTTAAGAAGCAGTTTTCCGTGAGCCCTCCCAGAGATACCACTACGAGCCCACTTGAAACATAAAGGACACGACACAGACTTAGCCTGTCCATTTGTCCCTCAGCACCAGCCCCAAAGTGTGTACCCTTAGTGTTCAAATTTTCTCTAACAGCCCACAGCATGTTTACATGGAATGTATGTGTTTCTTGATGTGTATATTCTTGTGGATAAGTCTCTTGAAGCCAGTACCAACGGGGATTTACTCCAAACTGTACTGTCTCAGGCTTACACTTACAGGACCAAACATTATTCCACAGTTAGGGATCGGGCAGGGTGATGATCTGCCAGAATGAGACATCGATGAAACTAGGTTTCGCATGAGAAGCTGGCACAGCTAAGGGTAACGGAGCCACTGGGTCACATCGAGAGGCACACCTGACCCGGGAAATTCACGGGGTCACCTGGAGAGAAGCAGGGACTTGGCACAGGCTGTCACTCCTACACCTTGGAAAGGCTACAGGCTTCCACCAACGACTTTTAAATTTTCAAATATATGTGCCTTTGTGATGCCTTTGTTTCAGACATTTTTGCAGAGTCAGACCATGAGTATGTGACCCTCACACAGGGTCTCATAAGCACAGGGTGGTGCCTGGAGAGGGCGGGGCCTGCTTGGGGGCGGGGCCAGGAGAGGGCGGGGCCTGCTTGGGGCGGGGCCGGGAGGGTCAGGGCCTTGGTTGGGGGCAGGGCCGCCGCTGAGGACCTAGGGGCCCCCACAGCGCTGAACGGGTTTGAATCCCGGTTCTGCTGTTTCCAGCTGGGTGTGACCCCGGCAAGTCACTGGCTGTCTTTGTGCCTTCCTGGCACCTCCATTCACAAGATGAGGAAACAGCAGGACGGCCAGGGTTGCTGTCAGGGGTAAGGGGGCGGCCTGCATGCTCCGCACAGTGCGAGCACCGAGGCGGTAAGTACCAGCGCCTTCGCCCGGAGGTGGCCCACGGCTGCTGAACCCGAGTTGTCTGGACTAGGCCGCCCGACTCGCGTGAGACCAGTTACCTCTGTGAGGCTCTAGGCTTGTGAAGTTCTACAAAACCAAGGTGATAAATTCCCAAGCATGCACTCTGAGGCCAACCTCCTGGGGGCGAGGCCTGGCTCCCCGACTTGCTGCCGGAGCTCAGAGGCGGCTGAGCCTTTCCTTCTCCTCACCTCTAAGGTGTGGAAGAATAATAACAGTACTGATCACTTGGGGGGGCTGCACGGACGGTGAGACAAGGACTCAGGACAGCAGCTGCCAGGCTCATTGCGGCTGCTTCTCCCCACACTGCTCTCCCCACCTGCCCTTTTGCTGGAGGTGACCAAGGCCAAGGATGGATTATAATTCACCTGCAAGAACCTATGCTTGAGGCAGAAGAAGAATCACCTTAAACACAACGAACGCAGAGGACGCCAGACAAATCAAAACGGGGATTTTAATCTCCGTCCCCTCTACAAATCCCATGGACACCTTCTGGAAATAACACACATTGGGGTTATAATAATCCTTGTTTAACAGTTCTTAAGAACGCCAAGAAAGTGCTTGGCTCTTTCGGAAGAGAGAAAGCACCGTGAAAAAATTCACTCAGCGATCATGGGGGAGACCATCCGAATCCTCAGATCATAAGCAACACGAGCGGAATGTCAACAGGAGAGGCCGGTGCAGCCCCAGGCGGGACCGGCAGCAGAGCGCAGGGGGCCGGCAGATGGATGCCTCGGAACATGGGGAAATACAGGAGCGTGTTTTCCGTAGCGTTACATTTACTTCTGCGTGTATGGTAATTTACACGTTTTAATCTGTGGTTAAAAGCCCAGGATATCGAGTACAGAATTACTGCTACCAGCACTTTCTCTATAGCTAAGCGAAGTGCACGTCATCGTGTGGGTGAAAAGTGCTAGCGTGCTACACAAGCAAAGAATCGTGATCTCGCCAAATCTCTTTCTGTTTTGCCTTGCTTAACTGAAATATGAATGAGAGCATTTGCGGATTTTATAAAAGTATCACGTAGAGTTCATCAGGCGAGTAATTTTTAAAAACAATTATTAGAATAAACCACAAACAGCAACCATGGTACATTCTGAATACTGGACCAAAGGCGTTCTTTCTTAAGTGATGACTATAGTAACTGCTTTGCTGAAAACAAAATAAAACTAAATGACAACCAAACACGTCAGGGTGGGTGGGGACGCACCTTCCCTGGCTGTGTACTCGTTGTCCTCGATGACCCGGGCCAGGCCGAAGTCCGCGATCTTGCACATGAGGGCCTCGGAGACCAGGACGTTGGCGGCGCGGAGGTCGCGGTGGATGTAGTTCTTCCTCTCGATGTACGCCATTCCCTCTGCGATCTGGAAATGAAGAGGAAAGCCAGACGCCTCTGAGTCCCTGAAACCCTTCCAGCTGTGTTATCCTGATTGTTCAAGTTTTAAACACGGGGGGAGGGTACAGCTCAGTGGTAGAGCAGGTGCTTAGCATGCATGAGATCCCTGGTTCAGTCCCCAGTCCCTCCACTAAAATAAAAACAAACACCTAATTGCCACCACCCCCCAAAAAGAAACACAAGAAAAAAAATTTTTTAGGTTTTTAAAACAATGGGTAAATTATCACCTTTTTGAGTTCTTTCTGAAATAACTGTCCCCCAAGTCTCCTAGGATGGTAATCACGTCTCAACATGATCATTTAAACAGCAGCACACCTCAGCCTCCCTCAATGCGTGCAGAGTCTTTTTAAGACTCTACTAAATTCCTGCACGTAGACATGAGGACCCCAGCGTTTCAAACGAGGGAACAGCTGGGGAGAGTGACGCGGTAACACAAGTAACATTACGGGGTGTCAGGAACAGGATGCCTGTGGTCAGCAGCAGCATCCTGGCTGTCAGGTCAGCCCACCGCCCACAGGACCTGCTCTCCACGCTCGCTCTGCACGGTCCCTCCAGGATGTCCCGAAAGCATCCCCCAGACACAGCACCACAGCGGGAGAGAATCAATGGTTCAAACTAAACAATAAAACAGGGAGGGTGAAACGACTGCTCATTGCTCACTAGCAAGTCCGGCCTTTAAGGAGTCAAAATAGGATCTTTAAGGAAGACAGCACCACACTATAAAGGTAAGAATCAAGAAGGAAGGAAGGGAGGGAGGGAGGAGGGAAAAACCAATAGCGCATCTGGCGAGCAGGTAGAGGGAACACGGATTAGGATTATGTCACACAGGAATGAACATCTTCTGCAGGGTCGGCCTGGATCCCAGGTGGCCCGCGTGGAGGACCTGACCCCCCCCCCAGCCTTCTCACTGCTCAGTTCTAGGCCGGTTTCGGCCAGGCCGTGTCCCTTAGCAAAGGCTTACCTACGCAACCTGGAACACCGTTCCTCCCCGCTTCTGCCGAAAGGGCCTTCCCTGAGCTCCTCTGGGATAATTTCTCTCTAGACCCACCCCCAGCAGTCAGTTTGTACAAAAACCATTCGCATCTACTGACCACAGCTTTGCTGTGACCTTGATGCTACTCAGTGTGCTTATGGCTGCCCTGCCGTCCAGAAGCCACAGCTCACATCTTTTCTGACCTCACTTGGCTCTATTGGAAACTTCAACCGTGTCACCACACCTCTTTTCAGAGCCTGAAAAAGTTCTTTGGTAAATGTGCCGGGTTTTCCTATCACCAGGATGCTCTGTGGTTGGCCGTCTGATGCAGGAGTTTGACAGATGATGATTCTGTGGCCAGAGAGTCTGGCGGATAATAATCAGTCTACACCGGGTCAGGGTCAAAGTCCCGGCAGCCCAGAGGTTCGCGTGTGGCCAGCAGCAAGGGTGCCGTCTTGAACAGAGAAAACCAAGACTCCGGAAAAACAAAGAGTTCTGAGTGTTTTCTTTAGTAGAAATGACAATCTGATCACGGATGCCTTTTGTGATCAGGAGGCGTGGCACTCAAGCGGGGCAGGTAAAGTGAAGACCTGGCCGTGTGACGCCCACCTGGTGGACTCAGGGTCCAGTCTCTGCCTGGATGGCCGGGCTGGGCCAGCCCTCACGCCCATAACCTACTACCTGAATTCTTTCTGCAAGTCCAACCAGTCACTCTCTGCACAAAACTAGCCTCCGGACAATGTCTGAACCCCTTAGCACTGCGTCTAAGCCCCTGCATGGCCGGCCCCATCAGCCCTCCACCTCCCGCCACGACCACCTCCTCCCGGACCCCGCCTTTCACACCTGCCCCCTTTGCCTGGCCGTTCACCCTGCAGGTCTCAGGGGAGACGGCCTTCCTCCGAGAGTCCTGGCCTCCCTCCTTCTCCTCTGACGTGTGCGGTCTCAGGGCCCCGGCTCCTCACCTGTTCACCTGTCTATGGTCATCACAGGAATGTAAATCCTCCGGGCACATTCCTGTCCTCGGCCCGTCTGTAACATTCCAGTGACTGTCTACAAACTGGGCCAGGAGCCTGGAGAGCTGCAGTTGGCTGCCGTCTCAACACAGGCTTGCGCCTGCAGCAGACGGTGGCAGTCAGGGACCTGCTGGACCCGCCTCTAGGGTGTGACCGACCACTCGGATGAGCGCTGGGGGCCCCAGGGACTCACATCTCTTTCACCCTTGGAGTTGGATTTGAGTGATCAGCTCATTAAAAGTGTTCTGGGAGCTTGTCGGTAAGGCGTTTATCATGCTTGCCCGAGTTCTGCATTTACACGCATCCGAATGCATTTTTTCATATGATTCTCTGAAATAACAACACACCTGCAACCAGCCCCGTTTACTCTGGCTTCCTTTCCCACGTCAGAGTGCTTTAAGGAGCTCACACTCCAAATTTTAACACTAGCATTCACCAAGACCAAGATTCGAAACCCTGGCATCCACCTGGGTGACAAACAGACATGGAGCAAAATCAAAGCTTTCAGATAAGGGCTTTTTTTGAGACCATGAAAGACCACAATTCTCTTCTTATATAAAAACTATTATTTCCCTGGTCTACATGTATTATTCTTTCTTGGTTTCTTTTTCTTTCTTTTTAAACCTTAATCCTTTTTTTTGTTTGGTTGTATTTACTTTGGGTAAAGAGAATCCGGCCCTATTTTGCAACAGCAGGAAGAAATCAGAGTGGCTGATGGAATCTAGTATCAACTTTTCTTGCACAGAATACATTCTCCCTCCCGCAGGCCACTCAGCCAACAGTTGTCAGCTCAGCAGGAAGAGCTGTCGCATAAACACGTCACTCCCAGGCTCAGCCGTCCACGGGGACCCGGAGGAGGGGAGCGCCCGCCCCCCACTTCCTAATGCTCCGTTAGCTCGGAAAGGCGGATTGGTGAAGGAGTTCTGTGGAGTTGCTCCGGTCTGGTGCGGACAGAATCTGATCCAGGAGATTGTTTTGTGCCGGAGGCATTTTATGTCAATGGCGATGATGAAAGGGAGGTGGCTGATGGACAGGTAGGTAGATATATAGATGGATGGGCAGACAGACATTAATAAGCGCTGTGTCTCCTGCCACTAATTGAGCACTTTAAGGTACCAGACACTGTTGTACACCCTTTACACCCAATTCATGTTTCATCTGAGCAACAAATCTATCAGGTTAGGTTGTATTTCCATTGTACACGTGCAAATGAGACTTAGAGAGGTGCGAGAAGACGCAGAAAGCCACAGAGTGGAGGAGAGAGTGGAGGAGAGAGCTAGGCCTTACACCCGGCCTGTCTGACCGCCACACCACACCCCACAATGTTCCATCTGCAAGAGAGCTCAGTATGGGACAGGTGCTCCTGGAACTCACATTTCTCACCGAGAGAGAATATTGTCTTACTGAGGAGAGAGAAAAATGCTTTTGACGTTTCCTCCCAGAATTCACCTGTTGTTAAGCCCAAATTTCACCCCTCAGAAAAGCTATCACAAACTCTCCTCGGGTCAAGCTCAGGGTACCCGTCTCAGGAAGGAAACGCAAGCTTCATGTGGGTTCTCTTTGTCTAGAACAGTGTTCCTCAACCTTTTTTCACTATCACCCCTGCAAAGGAGAAACATTTAATTAAATTAGACATTTTAAATTAAATACAAAGAAATAAGATTCTGTCCGGTAGGTCTGAGCTTTGGAGGGCCACAAACCATTGTAACAGCTAAGATTTTCTCATCCGCCAAGAACCACTTTCCACTCCCTTGGGGGCAATCTTGCCCCATTTTGAAATCTTAGTCTAGATGCTAAATTGAGCAAAGAAGGTATAAAACCAATTTTTCTTGTGACTCAAAAGAGGGGAGATGGATGGTGATATATTCTTGGCTTGAATGAAGTTAACACTCAGAATGAAAATAACCAGGCTAAAATTAAGTAGGGAAATATTCTTTCATTCAAATAGCCCTCTATATCGCGGAAAAAAGCAGTAACTGTCTTTCTTTTTGGAAATTTGATGGGGCCGAAAGGAGATGACTTCCCTAGAGTCAAACCACAGGCTAGTGCAATGGTTCGGAAGTGACTTCAATTTTCCTTCTATGCATTTAGTGGGTAAATTGGGTTTTAACCCTTATGACGGTATTTCTTACCTCTGGCTGTGTACCTGGGCACCTTGTCTTAACTCGGGCCTCGTCCTGAATCATCCAAACCTCCATCTCTAGGAGTGGGCCTCCCAGGCCTCTGTCACCTTCTGGGAGCTTGACTCTGACCCTGACTTATTCAATCAGACCCTGAACTTTAACAAGCTCTCTGGGCGACCTGTAGGCACACTGAACTCGGACAAGCCCTGCGTTAGATCCAGAGCTTTCCAACTCTAGCTGTTCTAGGATTTAAGGCTCTAGATGGATTGGAACAAAACCTCAGTCTCGGCCTCAGGAGCGGATGCATGGTTGTCCTCAATGCAGGGAAAAAGAAGTCCTGATGCAACTCAGCTGAAGAAAAAGAGAAGGAATCAGATGCCCCCAGGCAGCAGGAACGAGTCTGGGGTTGGCAGGGCATGGGGTGGAGGACACACAGGGGCTGGGGGGGTGAAGGGCCAGGTGAAAGTGGTACAGGCTAGTCCGAGTCCATCGGGGGCTCGGAACCTGTGTCGAGCGTCTGGTTTTCCTGTAACTTAGGGAGCAGGACCTCAGCCTCACAGCTCGGAGGTAGGGGACCTGGTGCCTCTCCCTCCCCCTCACGGCTCTGGGGTGGGGCCATTACTTAGGGGGGCTGAGAAACCGATTTCATTTTTCAGTTTTAAATCATCTGAGGGATCCTCTACCTCTCAGGCCACGCCAGCATCACGATGCCAGACTCAGTGATGTATGCACACGTGAAAAGCCTGACTTTCTAAACCACCTGCCAACGCTAAAGAAGAACCGAAAATGTCTTTTGTCTCCACGTGCTCTTTCCAGCTCTGTTACAGAGTCTGGGTGTGAAGCTGCCGGAAATTTGAAG